ATTGTATAGGAGACAGTGTGGGAAAGCATCAGGTGAGGAGGCTAGCAAATACCATTTCAAACATGTTCATATCTGAGCTAGATTTGGGTTCTAGGCCAATATTCCCAACTAAGGATGTTGGAGTAAAAAATGAAAAAGATAGTTCTTAAATGAACACACTTTATAAAGAACACGGTGGAGCCACAGGAACCAAGTTGAGTGGATGAACATTCTTTTACCATTTACCAGAACACAACATGTAGTGTGGTCCAATCTTCCTGGTCATGATATTCACCATCTAATATTTGCTACGCTAACAACCCACCATGTTGCTGGCTACATTTCTCTAACCCTATGTTAGCATATATTTGAGGTCCAAGACATGATAATTCACACAAAAAAACGTTCAACTTAATTCCAAATATTTAAGTTGAACGGGACCTTCAGTAAAACCTCTGCTGAGTTTCTGTCTTTACAAAGTGCTCGCCTTTAAGAAGATGGAGTCCAGATGACATAAGCAAAAATGAGCACACATGGGAAATGATGATTGAAGATGATCCCTGCTGATTTCTGTTGGAGACCCCATTCTCTGCCCGAAGCGAGACCAGAACCTCAAACCTGTAATTTAAAGTTATTGCCAGCTTAATAGTAGTTAGTAGTTGAAAGAACTGCTTTGATGTAGCAAGCAACACAATTCAAATGAGTTTTGTTTACTTACCAAAACAAAAAATCATTTTTAGGCCATACATTTTAAGTCTTCATTTTTAAATGGGTGTCTATTATTGACAGCATTCATCTTATTGGTCATACTGTATTGAAAGGTCGGCAACACGGACAGCACTGAATACGTTCCTTCTGGAATTGTGATTGCTTATGCTTACTCCCAACAGTAACCGTATGTTTAATTTGTGATACTATAGATTGAGGATTGACTACACTCACAGAAAAGGAGTTAAACCCAGACCCCTCTATTCAGCTGTGTAGTACAGAACAGAGATTCCTGCCGTGCAGTCGCTGTGTTCTTTCGTCCTTCACTGTGATAGAGAGCAGGGTCACGACGAGGAGAGGCAGTGTGATGTCTTTGTTGGACGTGTGTTACTGAAAAGGAGATTACACTTCCTTTCTTCAAGTTGCTTTATGTTGTTTTCTCTACCGCATCAGAAATGGAAGGACAACATATAGAGCACACGCTGACCAATCACAGCTCTCTGGTGCTGTAAATATGGGAAAGATTCAAACTATAAATATAAACGTCTACGGTGTGTCCTTGAGCCTTGAGCTTCAAACTGAAAATAAAAGGCTTCTTCTTCTTTCGTGTAACGTTAGAGGTCCAACTCGGTGTCGTGTAGCCATGCCCGCATCTCTGGTCCTAGGTCGAAGAGGCTGGCTTCCGAGGGTGGTCTATATAAGGGGCAGATGGTGATTATATGGACAGCGGTCTGCTCAGGGTCGCCGCACTCGCATGCCGCACTGTCCGCCAAGCCCCACGTCTTCATCGATGTTTTAAAGCGACCGACCCCAGTTATAATAAAAGGCTTTTTAATCTGTGGTACAAATTGATGGAGACGGATTGATTAACAAGACAATTTCACAATTTAGAATCATGTATCTAATCCACCAATTTGTGCGTCAACCCTAAACAAGAACAAACTAAAATGTCTGCAGCAGAGGGAATCACAATAATGGATTCACTTTTCAACAACTCTTTTCAAAAGGGGCTCAAGTTCTATACAAACAGCGAGTGATACATAACCCTGAAGTCAGCGTGGCTGAAAAGGAAAGGATAAAACAGCTTTGAAAAGAGGAAACGCATCCCTCCGACAGAGTGTGTCCTTCTGCACACTGAGAGAGCCTGGAAAACTACCTGGGCGGATTCAAAAAACCTTGGCATGCTCAACACCACTGAAGCAGTTACCATGGTGATGGGAAGAAAGGAAAACACCGCTGCTATCTTGGATGTGAGACACACACATATTATACACATCGCCTGCTGTCCCGCCAACAGAAGCCCCCCATCATCTCTTATATATATTTTAGTGGTCATTGTCTCCTGTATTTTGGATGCCAGTGTAGAGGTGTGCACTCCACCTTCATTGACGGCCTGTACAAACACACAGCAGTGTGTTGGGGGTTTGTACTGTATGTCTTGACATTTCAGCGCTGGTATTGATCTGTATGTGGACAGTGCTTTCTGCACTTTCATCAAGATTACATCAGTATCATGGCAGTCCTGCAGCTTCCGAGCTGTAAGACGCAGGACAGGAGCCACAGTGGGTGTAGCTGTAGATGTGTACCGGGTGTGTCAGCAGTGATTATTGATGGCAGCTTAAAGGGAGGATACACTGTAGCCGATAGTATCTACCCTGTGTTGGTTTTTGTGTGCATGGCAGCAATGGGAAGTAATTACAATCTTCGAGATGACAGACAATCACAGAGAGATGGTGATTTGCAGTGATAATTGTAGTTTTGCTCAATGAAATAAATATATACTAATTACCCATGGTATTTGATTGTTTTGAATGCACAGGGTTGCGAGGATTACTTAAAGGTGCATTGAGGTATACAGTAATTACAAGTTACCAGTACAAAATAATTATTTCATGTTTTAATTTAAATCATCAATTTAGCGCAAACACATTTCTGAGAGACGTTTTCTAAATACACTATGATCTATGGAAACAGCCTTACCATGTCAACTGAAGTCTCAAAAGGCCTTTGTAGTATTCCCATATACGTGGGGTTTAGCTTTTGTGTGTCATATTAGATCATTATAAAGAAACATGTAGTATTGAAATGATTCTGCGTTAACCGCATGCAATGTGCCTTTTGTTTGTGACATCATTTTCACATATCAAATATGTCACATAGCTTCACGGACATTTCATACGTATGGAAGATAATTAGGGCCATTTTCATAAAAATGTTTACACTAAAAGTGATATTTGTTTTTTAGTTCTGAAGTCAGAATGAATATCAGAACAACATTTTTTTTTTTGGTCAACTCAAAAAAACAACGACACATTTGGCCCTTATCCTCTTCCACGTATGTGATACTGTGCAGGATCTCAAGTGTGTTGTGTGTTCGAAAAGAAGTAGACACATTGAAACACAAGTATTTCATGAAAAAGTCAACACAAGGTGACATAATGATATGACTTCATATGTATGCACATATATTATATCATGTATCAGAAAAGCTGCTGCTGAGGCTACATGTTTCGCTCATTACTCTATCCATCCTCTCAATACTGTGCAGGGAAATCATTATCCTAAACATCTGTCCACTACGATGCAAACGTGCCATACACCGTTAAGGAACGCCTTTTTGTTTTTCTTGCTGCTCCTCGTGAAAAGGAACACTCTCTTTGTTTCTTGCTCATGCAAACACCTCAAAGCCTGCATACTGTTCAAACTCAGCCCGCGAAATGTGTCAAAGCTGTTATCAATCTTTAATGTTTTTTTCTTTCAGTCACGGAACAGTTATATTATAAACAACACCTGTCTGACGATATATTTCTGGATTTATTTGTCTGAGAGAGTCAGGGGAGTCGTAGAAATGAGGGACGAGGACGAGCATCTAAGGCTAACAGAGACAGATGGTGCAGGAGGAGGAGGAGGAGGAAGCAGGGAGGAAATAGGGGAGAAGGACACGGTGGAGGAGACGCTCAGTAGGCGGGAGGCAGAGAAGAGCAGTATTATTATGATATGTCTTTAGGACCATGCATAAGAATACATTGAGATGCTATTAGAACTCAAAGCTCATTCCCGTCTGCACACACACACTGAAACAACTGAAACATTGACTTGAATTAAATGTATTAGGTCAACACATTTCACACAATTGTATAATGTTAGTTGAAAGCAATAGTATTAAGTTTAGTTTAGGTTCAACTTAATATTATTGCTTTCAACTAACCTAATACAGTTTTGTGAAATCTGTTGATCTATTACATTTAATTCAAGTCAATGTTTCAGTTTGTTCAGTGGAATCATCAAACATTAAAACACGTCCTGGTGGCTATCACACAAACAATTATAACAGATCAAAATACATTTGTATAAATATTAAGACAAGCACATTTGTTAATATAAATATAATTTCACAATTAATTTAATCTAACATCTCAAATTGCAGTTAAATTAATTTTGGCAAGACTGGTTGCCCAACATACATTTTTTTGCACTATTGGAAAAAGCTTGAAAATCTAAGCAGATTGTAAACACAGCCGGAAGCATCTTCCAGTGTTTGATGTCCGTAAAGAGAAAGCAGATTGTGCAAACGTAGAGGGTCTCGGCTGGTTGAATCTGCGTTTAGGGCAGATTTAGAAATCTTTTGAATTTGCATGTCAGAGTTGATCTCTTAATAAATAATCAAACACATAACAGCAGGAATAAATATGTGTTTATGACAATTTATAGGGCAGTTGCAATGAGTCTGTGCCCGTATGCATTAGTTCAGATTTAGTTATCTTATTGCTCATGATCAAGAGGTTCTCCCCGTTTGTTCGGAGCTCGAAACATCTTCTCAATGGAGGACAGTATCAAAGAAGACATGGGTAATCTCCCCAGCTGTTGGTGTGAGCAGAGGGGGCGGCGCTCTCTCTTTGTGTCCGTCTATCAGCATCTCTTATCTTATTGACAAAGCGTGCGGTGTCCTGAAAGCCGGGCCCGGGCCCAAAGCCAGCCTGCTGAGCCTGAGAGGAGCACAGAGTCATTGATATGGGGATTATCTCTTATTATGGTCATGCCTCACTTTGCACCCAGCCTACCTCACATCACAGGACTGGGCCTGCTGGCTCACACACACACACACACACACACACACACACACACACACACACACACACACACACACACACACACACACACATACACACACACTTTACTCCTCCAGCCAACGTGTAGCTCAAAAGCCTATCTCACATATCAGACACCCTTCAGATAAGCCTTATCTGAAGGTAAAAGATGCCAAGTGCCGTGGAGACGTGGAGACTCACCCCCTCCTCTTTTTCACTTGACAGGAAGAGCCATATGTGATGTTCAAGAAGTCTGACAAGCCGCTGTACGGGAACGACCGCTTCGAGGGATTCTGCATAGACCTGCTGAGAGAGCTGGCCAGCATCCTGGGCTTCACGTACGAGGTCCGCCTGGTGGAGGACGGGCGGTACGGCGCCCAGGACGAGAACACGGGCCAGTGGAACGGCATGATCAAGGAGCTCATGGACCACGTGAGTCTCTTATATCTTCATTAAAGACAATGCATGAATATGTTCCAAGCAAACAGATGTTAAGTTCAGACCAGTGGGTGTGATTATATTCTACGTTCCAAGTCCATTGGAGAGGTGTGGAGAAGTTTGTCCCATCTGAAAGCTATTTTTTTATGTTTTCAGATATCAGCAATTTGTTTGGGGAATAAAATGTTATAATAACTCAGATACGTGTGGAATAAACCTGCAGAACTACAGTTTTAGTTGTAATAAACCACAATGACTCGTTGAAATAAACAGCATTGAGAACAAGCTGCACAACAGGGGAATACACAGGATGAAATTAATCAAACGTATTCGCAAATTAAATGTTTTGGGTTTAGATTATATGTTTGGTATCTATTACAGCAATTATTGCTTTCAAAGTGGAATCAGACTGTTATTTCCTGCAAATTACCAGTACTATCTTTGTGTTTTGGACTATTAATTCAACAGAACAAGGTACCAAAATGTAGAATATATTATTGATCCAAGTGCAAAAATAACAGCTGTCACAAAATAATCTATTAATTGGAGTTTCCTTTTTTTATTTCTTATGTTTTTTTTCTGGTCTTTATCGTATTGAAACACATTTAACAGATTATAGGAATAATTGTGTGTTTGGATCCATTTTGTTCAAATGGAATTCACTCTAAGATTGCTCTTGTGTTCTCTGTCAAGAACAGGTTTTAGCAAATGGAAATGTTGATGTTGACATGTTACATATCACATATATGACTTTGCACTTCTAGGGCCCAGACTACGTGCTAACAGTGAGAGTTATAAGTCTTATAACATCAGCAAGGTCTTGCTAACTAACAAAGCACTAAACTAAATGTCCTTATTTCCCACTACAGTACAGTGTAGTAGTGAAACTAGTACAAAGAGCTCTTTTGTCTGGTTGTGTTTGTCCTCTAAAGCTCTGATGACCTGTCCTATATGTCTCCCTACATCCCAGTACATCGTATAAAGTTTAGTGCAGCCATCCAAACAAAAGAAGAAAGTAGGTAAAGAAAATAAATGAATGCTTTGATTTAGGCTCCAGGGGGAAAATGGTCAGTTTAGTAGCGAGAGTATACTTGATGAGTGGAGAGGGCTTGAAATGTCTCGCTAGGTGCCTTGGGACAGACTCTGTAGTGTGTAAAGACCCTGCTTTCTTAATTGCATTCACCTCAAGTATGTTGTCTAGTTCTGTGTCAAGAACACGTTTTTTTCATGACTTGTACATTAGTATTTATTGTCATATCAACATCTATTACCATCGAAATGTTTGAAAATTACCCAAAAATAAGATGTAGGATAATGACGGATATTTCACTGAAACTCACTGAGAGGAAAAGTAGAAAAAAGAATGTGAAGATAACAAGCAGCACAGTTTGAGGGTACAGTGATGCGAGGAGAGCATAGATTCTGTCGGCGCGCGTTTCCCCTACAGAGCTTATTAAAACACACACACACACACACACACACACACACACACACACACACACACACACACACACACACACACACACACACACACACACACACACACACACAATCTGCCGACAGTGTAGATCATTACAACCGACAAAGTCTCAGAAAGGATAAACTGCATGGGCATAAAAATAGCAGCCGCTGCATGGCCAATGGTCAACATGTGACCCAAGAGGGGTCAAGTCTCCCCTAACTGCCTCTGCTCCTGATCAGTGGAGTCATCGGCCCAATCCCCTGCCCTTCAGTGTGGGCTGAGCAGGGTGCGGGATGACAGGGAAAGATGGTGATCACAGCGGAGAGGCCCTCAGATCAGAAGGAGTTTGTTTGGAGAAGACATGCTGAAGTTAGAGCTGAACAAGTTGGAAACACCCTGTCAGAGGACTTTAGCAAAAAGATCTTTCTAATGTTCAAAGTGGAGATAACTTTGTGGAGGGTTGTGTCAAAGATGCCTAGACTATCTTTCAGAGGTGGGAAGTAACGAAGTACATTTACTCAAGTACTGTTCTTAAGTCCTTGAGTATTTCAATGTAATGCTGCTTTGTACTACTTTGTACTCCACTACAATTCAGAGGTGAATCATGTACTTTTACTCCACTACATGTATTTAATACCTTTAGTTACTTCACAGATGTGGATGAATGATGTGAAATATAACCAAGTGTTGAATCAGACTTTAGTTCCACCTGGAGTAAATCCACAAGCTACCCTGCAGTATACAAAGTCATTCAAACTAGCTGCACCTTTACCAGCTTTGAGAACACTTTCATGATCAATCATTATAAAACATATATATATATTATTCTGAAATGGGTTTATCTGCAGAAGGAGTATATTCTACTTTTGTACTTTTACTTGAGTATCATTTGGAATGCAGGACTTGTACTTGTAACAGAGTATTCCTACACTACACTGGTATAAGATATGAGTACTTCTCCCACCTCTGCATTTGTTACATCCCAGCTGCTAGCAGGAAGCTTGCTCCGTTCATCTTCGAGTGATATATGGCAACCTTCACAAGACAAAAAGGATATATCTTTGAGAAAGGAGCCACTTGACCTTGCTGTAAATGTTTAGCATTTATAGTCACAATGCAGCTGGAGATTTATTAACTGTCAACAGAACTGCATGGTTTTCACCCCAGATATGGTAACATGACTTTCCTGGGAAGGCTCTATACATCCCGCTCTATATCTCTAACGCACATGTCTCACATATAATCACGGCTTCTGCCAGAGAAGGGATTATTCAGTATTATAAATAACTCCGGGAGAAATCATGTTAATGCTCAGTGTTTGGAGAAACCGTTGTGTGTATATAGAGCAGATTCAGATGTTTGCCACTGCAGTTAATCAAAAAGAAAAATGCACTACATTTGATGTAAGTGTTGGATGTGAATTCAGTTAATTAAAGCAATACTTCCTTAGTGAGTGCTATATTGCGCAAGAAAGCTAAGCTTACAAAATCGGTCTCTGATTGCTTTCATTTGATGTTACAGGGACGTATTTGGATGAAAGAAAGAAGTACAAGCTTTAAAGTGGTGCAGTGATGGCTATAAGATATTTGTGTTGGCCAACCAGGAAGTCGCAATGACTCCCTCGACAAAAAGCAACGGGATTTTCCAAATTGGATGATGGTATATTACAGAAAAGAAGCTCAATGTCAAACACACATGTATGATACTTAAAACGTTTTGTTTAGCAGGGTACTATCCATACAGTATATTCTGACGACTTTGTGATTCTTGAAGCAGAAATACAATAGCTGCATCAACACCGCTAAGCTTAAGGCAGACTTGTGTCTGCGTGATGAGGTTTGTTAGTTTATTTAGTCACTTGTTGGCAACCACCATTTTTATGACACAGAAGCTTCGGACATTCACCAGTGTGGTATTTACTGACGTATCTTATGTTATCGAACAAAACGAGGAAATATCTTCAACTTCTGTCAACCACTGATATTATTTCAGGTGTCTAAAGAAAAGCCAAAACCGTTAACTTCGAGAAAGGAAACCGGAAGTTGTAAAATGCTAACTTATTTCAACAGTTAAAATGGCATCCCAAAATATGGATGTACTGGATGGGGATACATTTTACAATGGAACATTTAATTTGACTTTTTCAAGTGTTCAACCGGAGAAATGACACAAAGAAAGACCGAGGCTGCATTGTCCGTGTAAGAGGACATGGCAGCAGGGACCCTCTGTTTCAGAACCTCACTTTCTTAGTCAATATAGCAAACACTATTGTATTGCTTCAATTGATTACACCATCACCACTGATTGGACTAATCTAGACTGCATACAAGGTGGAAAGTATTCCCTTTAACAAACCATTAACTGTAACTCTTGACAAAAGATAACCTCAGATATAGCAGTTGTCAAAGGATCTGCTTTTGTTTTGCTTGGGTTTGGTTGGTTGGTTGATGAGTAACTGGACCAAATGATGGCATTGTTTAGAAGGTGACCTGAAATAAGTTCCAGGTTCTTTTGATGTTTGTTAAGTGCTGCAAAGAAGGTATGGGTCATCAATCAAGAATGACTACATGGAACAGTAACCAGAATTTCACCAATGCATCTTTAGCTACCAGAAAACCAACACTTGGGGGAAAGAAATCTATGTTGTATGAACATTTATGGAAAGAAACAACCAAAACAAGTATTACCAAAAATGTAAGTTTGTAAAAAACAATGTCATTAGTTTTTGTAGAGGGAAAGTCATTCAGAGGGAGCAGGTTCAGTAGATAAGACATTTAGCAGAAATACTTCCAGGTGGTGCCAGGCACATGATTTGATTGATATGCCCTGCCATGGCATATCAAGTGTTTCACATATTTATGTACATTATAATGAAAATCAAAGACAAACATATTCAACATTGCAGTAATTGATGTAGGAATAACTTACTACCAAAGCCACACAAGGTTATTCAAAGTGCATGTCATTTTAAACCTGGGGAATGGGTTAAGTTCTTGCAGCGCACACACAGCCAAAGACAAACAAAAAAAGAATGTGAGAATAGGTCTCAAGTTAATTGCTTCCATCAATGATCCACCCTCAATAACTACCCACGATGTAAATGTCAGAAGTATTATCAACATTTCAAATGACAGATGTATTAGTTATTTTCAGTCTGCTAGGGAATAGGAGTTGCAACTGTGGCAGTGCATTGCATAGAATATGTTTCAAACACTGAGTAGATGTAGCATAGTACATGGACTGCCTTTGTTTGGGCTTCTCTAGTCTTTGTGAAACAGCTTTTCCAACACTTCACCATTCGCCCATACAGAGGCAGGTTCAGGGTGCCACCAGCTCGTCAGGAGAGATTACTATTCACATATCATTGGCTATACCTGTGGGAGAACATTGGAGTTCAGTGTCTTGCCCAAGAACATGCAACCTGTCGAGCAAGGGACCGGGATCAAAACCCCCAACCTTCCAACTGAAAAAAACATCGCTACCTCCAGGTCCACAGAATTGGTATGGGTTGTAGAGATATTCAAATATATACAGTACCGTTGCCTGTTACACAATGAGCTAGTAGAAGTATATCCTTATCATATATGTTCTTCTCTCTGGGTGGATAAGTACCCTACTCTCCAAACATATCTCTAATATTTAGGATTTTTGGTGAATTTGTCAGAATATGACTAAAAGCTTGCTGAACAATTGTATCATTGAGCAGTAAAGAGAAAAACACACCGGTTTGCTGAGAGGTGTTGTGTTTGAGGTGATGATTGGATGCCTTACTGACAAAGTCAAGGTGCAGTAGACAGAATTTACCAATGCACGATGCTAATCTAGTACCAATTCTGTTTTGTTATTTTATAAAAGTGGTGTATCAAGGACGCAGAATCACAGAGTGCAGGCACTTGGCAAGAGTCTGATTAGTCTGAGTAAAGAGTGCTTTGTCCATGTGTTCTTTATCTCGTTGGCCACACCGGAAAGCAGAACTGCTTTGTTCTATCATTCATTGTTTTTTGGAAACAATGTTAAAACAATCCAAAATATGTTGTTACTGAGTGTCAAGGCCTAAGAAGGATTTAACAATTGTGAGTACAAGCAGATTCCAACAGTTAATACTTCTCCATTCTACTGTATACTGGGTGTCATGATTATTAAGACAGGGTCCAATAAAGTTATGCTAAAATGTTCTCAATAGTCATATGCAAAGCATCCTGTTTTGCCTTTATAAGTCAAAGTACGTTGCTGTTGTACAAGAATATCGTGGACCAGACTGGACTTATAGTCTAGAGTTTTGTTATATGAGGTTTATCCGGTTAACAAGACCTTAGAAAAAAAGCTAAACCAAAAGTTCCCTACAGTCCAACAACCGCATCAAAATTATTCCAAAGTCTTTTTGTCCTCTAAAGCAGGGGTTTTCAAAGTGTGGGAAGGTGAGCCTCCCCTCAGAGAACATAAGAACAGAGGGTTAATCTAACCCTAACCCTTTAACCCTCAAATCAAGCAAATCCCCTCTCAGATTCCACAGCAACCAGAAGAACATACATACTGGCTGGTGATTTGATTCATCAGCTTTGTGATGGAATAAAAAATGCACAGTGCATTTCCTTAGCTGTGGGTGAGTCCACTGACACCACTGACAATGCTCAGTTGCTGGTGTTTGTGAGTTGTTATGATGAGGCAAAGGGGGAGTTTGTTGAAGATGTGTTGGGCCTGACGAACCTCAGTGGACACACAAGGGGGAATACATTTATAAAGCAATAATGGGAATGCTGAATGAAAGAGGGTGCAGCTGCCTTTATTCATAACTGTGCAGCTCTTACACTGCGACTCTGAGGGGTCAAGCACAGACACAATAACAATGAAAACTGCTGCACAGATTATTTTTGTTTTTGCAACCTCGTGTTAAGAATCTTGTTGCAATTGTTTAAAAGTTTGAATGACCGTAATAAACGGACCTTTGTCTTATTGAAAAAAATGTTTTGGACCTTTAAGATTTGTATTTGAGTACCCCTGCTCTATAGATTGCACCTATCCCAACAAAAGGAGAAAGTAGTTATAGCAAATAAATGAATACTTTGATTTAGGCTCCAGGGGGAAAAGGTTGAGTTTACTAGCGAGAGTATACTTGATGTGTGCAAAGAGAAAGAGGGCTTTAAATGTCTTGCTAAGTGCCTTGGGACAGACTCTGTAGTGTGTAAAGACCCTGTTTTCTTAATTTGATTGCCTCTAAATCCTTCCTGTGCCTGTGACTTATAGCCTATTTCTCTTCTGTTTTTATGTTTCCTGTTGACAGAGAGCTGATCTTGCAGTGGCTCCCCTCGCCATCACATACGTGCGAGAGAAGGTTATCGACTTCTCCAAACCCTTCATGACGCTGGGTATAAGTATACTGTACCGCAAGCCAAACGGGACCAACCCTGGGGTCTTCTCCTTCCTCAACCCCCTGTCGCCTGATATCTGGATGTATATTCTGCTGGCTTACTTGGGTGTCAGTTGTGTGCTGTTTGTCATAGCCAGGTAACATGTCACTTCCAGTGATCACAGCCTCACACACAGACAGAAACATGCTTAGCTTCCATCGCTTAGCCCCGCCCATCGGACTAACAGCAGGCCCATCTCAGTAATCACAGGATCTGCATCCTGAGCACTCTCACACAGTAAAAGCCTTCCACTCAGTGACAGTGCTGACACTAATCAACAGTCATGTATCAAATGTCAGCCCTAACACCTTTGCTGTGTAAAATGCTAAATGCAGTTTAACCGTTAAGGATCACATGAATATTTGCCTTTTTCAAGTTTCCAATTCAGTTGGTGCTTGGCTGCTGGGTTACTCCTGGTCAGAGGTCGCGTTGACAGAATATTTTCCGTCATTTTGAGAGATTAGAACAAACTCGGAACAGCGCCAAAGTTTCCCCGCAGCGAGGCTCGGGTATTATGCCGTGTTATGCATGCCCGCCAAAAAGGAAATGATACCGTTTCCAAACCTAACTTTGCCGTACAAATCATTGAAATGTCTGCAAGTTTTTGCACACGGCGCTAACAGTTCACGCCTCCCCCCGTTGACAGTTCACGAGCGTGCTCTCTCGCAACCCCCCCCCCCCCCCCCCTCGTCAGAGTTGTGTAAAGGCCGTCGGGTAATACTGGATTTTGACGGAAATGTTACGATCCTGTCCGTCAAAATGACGGGCAGCGAAAAAGTCTAGCGCAACCTCTGCTCCTGGCATATTTTTGGTATCAGTAATGAAACCACAGGAAATTCATACACACACAATTAAACCACAAGACCTTAGATAGAGAAGTTGTAGGCCTATCAGCCGTTCGAGGGTTGTGTGTACATGTCAGAGAGAGTGGCAGAATGCTTGTGCTCTCATATGGATATGTGTTGGCGTAAGTGTGTGTGGGATTTGTCAAGCTCGGTGTGAACACTGCTGCCCTTCTCCCACCTTTCCCTCACTATCCCCAGTGTCTCAGAGTTCATGCCGTCTCTTCTTTTTCCTTCACCTTGCTTCAAGCACGACAACTGGAAAACAAACGACAGAACAACAATCATCTGGTTTAAAGGAGTTTGTTGCTGTCACCCTAACCCATTCATTGTAATGCTTCCAAGGTGTTCATAGCCACTGACAACCCTTATCTAAATATACGTTTACAGATGACTTTCCTATGCAGACTTTTAAAGGCGTTGTGTTTTGTTTTACCCCACCAAATCAGACATTTGGGTTTTTTTCTTTAAATGACTCACTTTGTCACTTCTGCAACTTTTTTTTCTTAAATTGGAGCTATGTTTTACAATTGTAGGTCTCTCTCTGCAGTTAATTGTTTGCTGTCCAAATGACATTGCAAGTGTTTAAAGACAATAAACCCAAGTGCTGCAAAGTTTGTTTGTAAAGAACATTTGCTAAGAAGTGCTAGAACTCATTTGTAATTGGATTTATGGTTTTGGTAATTGAAAGCAAAGAACTCTGTTCTTAGTTCTTTTATTTATCTGATTCATAGTCAAAAGCCTGGTAAAAGAATAACATGCCTGATATAAAACCGAGCTTTAGATGAAAACATAAACACCTATAAACAATCAGAGATGTTTTCTAGGGTTAGGGTTGACTGACTGACCAAAACACCTTGAATACATTGGATTAGTAGGTGTTGTATCTATCAACACAAGCAGCCCTTTATTACAGTATTTGCTTCTGTGTTTTTCCACTCAACAGTTTAATTATGTAACGTTAAAAGAATCCTGTGGCTGATGAAACCATCTAAAATATGATTTGCACAAGTTGTCTTTTCTCTTAGTGTCTCTGCTTTGACAACTCTTTCAGATTAAACCTAGACCAATGACTTTGACGGTTGACTCGTGATCTCGTCGTTCTTGCTTGTGGCTGCCATTTGAAGCATGGTAAAGAAAAAAAAGAGGAAAATAAGTTCATGTTAACTCTAAAACTTTCAGGAGACATCGGCTCTCTTGCAGCCGTGACCTGACAGTTTTACCGTTAACGCACATGTGTTTTCTGATGTTACTGGCAATATGATCACACACAAAAATAAAAAGCGGCAACTGTCATCTAAGTTGGCTCAGAATATGCACCTATCTGTATATAATATCTTTATAAGTAAGTGTTTGGGTAAGTGTATGAATTCCCCCTTCACTTTATTCCTTATTTTTTCCTGTACACACAATGCATGCTGGGCTACAGCGGCATGTGGTTGATGTAGTAGAGTGTAGCATAAGCACTCTCACTGAATCTCATGAAATGTGAAAGGCAGATTATGTAATGTGAACAGAAGAGATTACATTCCTCTACCATTATATATGTGACAAGAGCATTTTAACATGTCTTGTCAGGTGATAAGAGCCTCTGTGGTTGAACTACCCTGGTAGTGTACACGTCAAATATCTTCCTCCCCCGTGCAAATAGTTTTGGTGCCTTGGTTGAATAAAATGGAGATGACTTGAATTTAGTTTATACTGCTCACCACAGGAATTCAAAAGGCCCAAATCGTATTGGAAAGAGTTTCCCTGCTGTTCTAGTCAACAGCTGTCACTGAAGCTACATTATACAGAATAAATGCCCGTTTAAAACACCACTATACTGTCTACATCAATAGACTCAACAAGGGGTAAGAAAGTGAACCAAATCTAAAAATACAATATGCTAGCATATGGTTTTATCAGGTTGACCAAGAAGGAAAACTGGTTTGTTGTTCATGGTTCAGAATTCGATCAGTAAAAAAAAAAAAGACAGTCAAAAGTGTATACAATAAAATACTCTTGCTAGATAAACTAAAATGTTTAGGACCAGTGACCTGAAACCAGTGAATACAGTTATAGGTTTTAGGTCTATACTGTCTGTATGATGTCTATACTGATCAATATCATTGCAACTCATATTAGTGTTGTAGAGAACACTAATATGAGTCTGATGCCCGATGGAAAGAAAAGTGCCTTTAACCAAGTTTGGTCAGGTTAAGGCACAGTAACTATTTTGTCAGGGACATATAAAGGGGTAATGTAAGGGCTCAACAAGCTACTTGATTGAGCATAGGGGACGATTATAGTTTAGGTTTTTTTTTTTTTTAACCCCCCTACCACCGCACCTTAACCCTACCAAGCTTTGTGTCCCTGAACAATGTCTCACTGTTTTTGCTTTTGTTCTATGCAGAAAAAGTAATCCATCTCAAGGTGTTATTACCCACTAAACTGTAAACATACATCAGGCACAGTGATATTTCTTTGAACAATCTGCTTATTTACACTCATAAAAAGGTGTATTGACAGCATGCCCTGCATTTAATCCTTTAATGGTGAGGAAATGTATTTCTCCAACTTCTGTTCACATTCATCATTTGTATGTTTAAAAGTCAAGCTAATTTCATGAAACTTTGTGAGACTAAACCATCTAATATAGTGAAGCACATACAATTGACAAGGAGTTCCACTGTGCATTAATATACTGTTTCTGTGTGTGTACACATTACACATTTTATCTATGTATGCTTGTGTTCGTGCTGCGCTGTGTGACTGACTGTTGGTACGAGTGAGAGACAGAACACTGGGACTGACGTACACACGGTTAGAGCAGCTTCTCCTCGCCACCGATAGGCCCCTTCCACACGGGTGCACTGCTAACACCACATGATCCCTCTGTTGTGTTGCCAACTGCCCTGATATCTCCAGTTACTGATGTTAATGTCACTGGTTATCGCTTATTTTATGTTCCTTCTAATGACATCAGTCGCTCTGCTGCTGCTTCTGCACAGGTGATGAAGCAAAAAAAGCTTTATAGCACATCACACCTCTGCTAAAGCCTGTGCATTAACACCTTGTTACACTTTGGGGAATTCCCTACATCATACACATGAAGGGATTTTATTTGCGAAAAGCAGAGGTTTAGCTAAGTGACAGTAGTCAATCAGAAATGTCATCCAGAATTATAATATTTCTATATGAATATTTCTCATAATACTGATATGAAGTTCTCTCTTTCCTTAAATCAAAGTGTATTTTGTCTTTTGAATATTAAACATTTAGTTAATGAGTGCTCATATTAAAGGTACAGTACATCGTGTGGTTTGAATGCTCCTCTGAATCCCATGCACCTTTTATATATTTTTGAGGCAAAAACACAACTGAGGTATAAAGTGGTGCAGTGATGATGTATTTGTGTAGGCCGACCAAGGAGTTAGCATCACGTAGGGGTCCCTCATCAAAAATTAATCTGATTAGATTTAGTTTGATGTACAAAAAAAGCTTATGATACATATATATATTGGCAATAAATCTACAAGAGATTGTACAGTGCATCAGAGAGATACAGTATGTCCACGTTTTTGAGCAAGTCCACAAATCCAGTCTTTGTCAAGTCTGTCACCACCTTAGCGCGTAAATGCAATCGCCATAAGTAAAAAAGCTAACCTTGTGGCTGCGCATCAGCACCGCTAAGCTAAAGATTGCTAATGTTCGTCGTGATGACGTTTATTAGTTAATTTAGCCACTGTTTAATTACATTTTTTATTTTCTAGAAGGGAAACGTGTAATTATATTAGACTTTTAAAAACCAAAGCTCTTCTTGGAGGCTTCTTACTACAAACATGTTCAAAGACCATTGGCTTCAAGTGGAATGAATCAGAAGTGGTAAAATGCTAATTCATTTCCCGGTTTCAGGAAACGTTTCTGCACCACTCCACTGAGTCTTAGATCAAATATATGCCGCTACCAATACCATGTAGGGCAGCGGTTTTCAAAGTGTGAGGCGCGCCTCCCTGGGGGGGCGCCAGAGCGCTTCAGGGGAGGCGCAGCATGAGAAAATAACGAGAACAATCACTATCCCCCCCCCCCTTGACAATTTAATAGCGGTAATTACTTGCGGTACCGAGGTGGGCCGGCAGTACCGAAGTGGGCCAGTCGAGAGTCCCGGGTGATTTGTAGATCCTGCCTGCACGGGTCTGATTTTCAAGACCCGCCCCCGCGATGTGCAACACCGAACCCGGCCCGCCACCCGCACATATTGCCAATTAGTTCCGCAAACCGACCCGACCCGTCGGCACAAGATCCGCAAACCTACCCGAACCCGCATATCCTATGAGCAGTGAAAACATGCATTTTATTTACACACGCAGTTGCGTATTTGGCTCAAAAAGCGTGGGATGTTGGTTATTTCCTCCATCTAGGATGACACCATAAGCCTCCCAGACGTTGGATTTCGTTCTTGAGGAAGTTATTTACAATGCTGTATTCTCCGCTAGAGAGCTTCACCTCAGCCATTTCGAATGTGGCGCGCTCTGCAGCAGATTGATGCGGTGCAGAGGTTATGATTATGCGCGGTCCCGCGGGGAGAGGTCTGAGGATTTAAACATTAAATTAAATTATTATTATTTAAATATACATTTATTATGCAATACCCGCGACCCGACCCGCATCTTCTTTGTTTTACCCAGAACGGAGCCCGGATTTTATTTATTTTTTTAAATACCACCCGCGAATAACTTTTTTTGTGGGTCACCCGTTGGGTACCCGACCCGATGCAGGACTCTGATCCCCGCAGGACTCTGATCCCCGCATCATCCGCCTGTGCGCATCAAAGACGCAGACTCATTGTTCCCAGCACTAAAGTAGGGGTGAGTGTAATAAGGAGGCAAAGTTGATGTTCAGTGTGTTGCCACGAGCATACAAGGATGTATCCACGATGTTGAAAAAAAATAAAAAAAACATTTTAAAACATAAAGATAAAAAGGTTTTTAAAAAGTTATTTTTTAATATTTTTAGGAGGTGACGCTACTCAGCCAATCAAATCGGTGCAGTCCGTGAGTCAGCACGATAGATTCAAACATACACACAGAGACGAGACAAGAAGAGAGAAACAGTCGGAGTATGAAGTGCTCAAAAAAGAGAAAGGTAGACAGCGAAAACAGAGCATTTAATGACATGTTCTCTTACTGGACCTCTTTTAAATGCAATTGAATACCCCTGCATTATAGCAACAACAACAACAATAATAATAATAGCAATAATAATTGGGAGGGGGGGCGCGGCTGTTCTCATGTTCTCTGAGGGGAGGCTCACCTACCCACACTTTGAAAACCCCGGATGTAGGGTATACCAGAGTTAACAAATATGACTTGCACATATTGGTTGAGCCTGAAAATGTTGCCCAACATTTTTTGCCAGTTTTAATTGTAAGTGTACACAAAATATTAAGCTTGCGATTTTCATTAACATTGTCCAAGCCACACCACCACATATTGTGTTTTTAAATGTAATCTTACTTTCCGATAGTCTCTCATGCTGGGACTGAGCAACAGGACCGTTCTCTCGCTGTTGATTCATCTCCTCTGACATTGGCGTTATCGTGCCCATCATCGCTGGAGCTTTCTGCTGGGTGACCCTAACCCCGTAGGAAGATAAAAGCCTCACATTGTTTCTGTGCAGCTGGTGAATTACCAGCCGTTTATTTTCCGCCCGAGCTTATCTCTGCACTGACCTTGCTCAAAGTTTCTCCCTCTGCAGCACAGATGATCTGAGATAATGTAAGGGCAGTGTAATTGGATCAAAATGACAGCAGGCGAGCCAGGCGAGGCCACAGTGAGAGACGGGTTAAGCCGTGGTGTCTGCTGTAAACGGCAACGGTTTAGCATTCTGTGACCCAACCAGCAGCGGTCCAGCCCGCCACGATCCGGCACATCGCTGACAACTTCGCTCATCCATGTTCATGGCGAGCTGTAATTGGCTTTTCCTGACATGATTGGAAGAAACACACGCGGAGACCTCTGCGCAAGAGATTGGGTCACACATGCCACGACAAGGTCGCAGTTCAGATGAACTCAATTTGGCATTGCAAATTGACAAGCAAGCAAATCTGGGGCAAATTGAGTGAGTGGACAGATTGATTTAAGGCCAAGGATTCTCTTAAAAGAGAAATAAGGGGGACATTCAGGGGTCCTTGAGCTACACCACACAATATCCTCCCGTGTGTTATAGGGGTGAAAAGAAACACCACTGCTAACCACTTTATAATGGCAGAGCCCATTAGTCAATGACAGCGTACAGTTATGATGCTGTCATTTCATCCATACAGCCATACGTCTTCATATAGAGTTGTGTATAACAGTATTCTACCAAGTACTACTGTATTATAACAGAGGACAATGGAATAAAACCTTGGCACCCGGCGGTGTAGCACTTTCATCTGCATTATCCTGCGTGCAGATGTTACATGCACTCAAGGTTACCGCTTTGGACTTCCAGTGCAGTACGTCTACATTATGCATTGCAATTTGATTATTCAAACCCTTGTGTCTGTTTAACAGCTTGAGTCAAGATAGGGCCCCAGTTCCCCCTCTACCCCAGCCCAAACCAAATCAGGTCAGAATGCTTAATTGTAGACCAATCAACCTTTACTAATGTAATGTCACTTTTATTTGATATGAATAAATGAGAAATCTCTCTGCTTGAGGAGTGTGTCGAGTTAAGGGGAGCGCCGGGCCGGCGTGGGCATGATGGGAATTAACCGCTTGATCTGCTGAATATGAATGCGCCTCAAAGATTATAAGGATTATTAGTTCTTTTCTTGGCTGACAATGGAGTTATTTTCAGACCCTATCGATTAAATTACTGAGGGGAACTGCCTTTGATATGAGCACTCCCACATGAGAAGCCACCTTTGGAATATGACTGGTGTTAAAATCGGGCCAAGGATCGTATCTTATTACAATTTAACAATGGAAAAGAGAGATTCAGGTGAGCAGACATTTTTGAGGCTTTATTTTGACTAATAGATTATTCAGTAAATAAATCCTTATCATCATTTTACAATAATTCATTTTTTAATTTACTAATCCAGTTAGCAATAGCATTCTAAGCTATGTTCACGAAAACAGAGCAGTGCTTCTTTATCAGGGACGTGTCCTCCGGCAGGTTCAAAGTGTTTCATATGACTAAGTAACGTTGTTTTTCTCTCTCCTGTCTCCCCAGGTAGGATGACAACTGTGTCTTTATGCAACTGCAATAAACATCTGTGTGTGTTCTCTGTTAATGTCACAGGTTTAGTCCCTACGAGTGGTATAACCCCCACCCTTGCAACCCCGACTCGGATGTAGTGGAAAACAATTTCACCCTGCTAAATAGTTTCTGGTTTGGAGTTGGAGCTCTCATGCAGCAAGGTAGACGCCTCTGCCTGTCCCCTTTTTTCTAGCACATGTCCCACTTTTTGCTGGGGGTCAAACCTTGCTCTTGGACCAGGCCCATGACCATGCATGGGGGCCTCTGTGCATGATGCTAGATGCTTTTCTGGTAGAGTCCAGCAGAATGGACTGAGTGGAATTTGATGTGTGATGATGTGATCGATGAATGAGGATGGTGCACCTGCATGCTACCCTTTTCCTAACCCCTCCCCTACCTTCCCCAACCTATCTACAGCATTCGAACAGGTAAGTGTACCCCCCCCCCCCCTTCCCAGGATACCTGATATTGAAGGAATGATTGAGATTGAATGTGAATTTAGGCCCGTCGGCCAAACCAATGCCATATCTTCTCAACTAGTTTGCATCTTAAGACTGAAAAATAGTTTATAAGAAAAAGGAATGTTATTATTTTAATGATACAATGCATGCCAGAATGAGAGATATGTTGCATTTTTAAATGTTGTCAATAAAACAAATAAGCAGGTAGATGATTGTAGGGCTTGGAAAGCATGGTATAAAGTGTATGTGTCACAGCATCTGGACAGTGCAAAGAAATAACTAGCTGCCATAGTCAAAGCTGCTTTAAAGGGTCAGTTCACATCCAGCTATAAAGATTTGTTTTGGGTTGTATACCCCCACGTTTTGAATACCTTTCTTTGACAATAATGCCTTAATTCTCACGCAGTATTGAACAAATTAATTAGAATATTTTATTAAATAACTTGGTTGAATACTTGATTCTGATTGGTCAATTTGGATGTACCAGAGATTGTTAATTATTTGCTAAAAACCGTTGCTAAGGAGGATAAAGGGACATTAGCTTTCATTGATCAGAAAACACCATGAAATACTTATTGAATATTCATTTTTATATTTGTGGAGATGATAAAACTTTGGATTCATGATGGTAAAACTGTTTATATAATACTTTCAAAATCAACTGAAGACCTTATAGTGAAACACAAGGTTTTATATGAATTAATACCACAGAGTTTGAAAATTATCCTTTTGAATTAAACTATAATTACTTGTGAACGTTTATTTTCAACCATAGAAAAGTTGTTAAAAGAAATCAAGGTTAAGTCGTTTTTTCAACAGATTTAATTCAGAGGCCCTGAAAGTATTTGTTATTTAATTATATGTTCAAACAGTGTTCCTAGCAGTCTGAATAATCCATTCCAAATTTGGCCTCTACCGTTGAAGTAGGTGAGTGAAAAGAAATTATCTGCATGATAACATATCAGGAGAGGTCAGTTAGAAAAAATGTTTTTGGATGAAGTGACCCTTTAAGTCTATAGACAATCTTTCTTCGGAATAAGTAACGTATCCCTTGTTGGCTGGTTGCATGCTAACTTACTGTACAGTATACTGCAAGCGTACTAATATCCCCAAATTAGCTACTAATACTTCTTACAGATTTGTATTTATTTGAATCCTAGGATGCAAATGATTTGACATCAAATTGATGGCTGGTTTGACAGAATCCGTGAAAGATCTTTGTAAATGTCATGCATTTTAGCAACTCCGAATAGAGAATAAAGTAGTGTTGTTTGTTTGACCAGCTAGCAGCACATACTTGTAGGGTTGACCAGTTGAGAAGATTTGGCTGAGGCCCAGACGGCGGTGGGATAGACTGACCTCACGGTGTCTTCATGGCACCGTGAGCTCTGCACTGTAGAGAGGCTCCCCTGCCCGGAGGCTTGCCCCGCCCCCCAGAAAACTGTGGGATGTGCTGTTTGGTCATGACGTTACCTTGGGTACATGACAGTCAGCACCAACCAGGCTCTGTTTGGGTCAACTCGCTCCTCTGAGTGGGTTGCCCCTCTTTTCTTTTCTTTTCTGGTTTCTGAGGAGGAAAAGGAAAAGAAGCATGGAGCTGGTAACATGTTTTAAACATACCTGCGTCTGATAACAGAATATGCAGAATCCTCTGCTCACAGAACTGATGCATATGTTTGTGTTCATGCCTGCTACCTTGATTTGTGTTTGTGGTTTTATGAATGGGCAGAGTGGGTGGCTGTTGCCAGTGCTGGGTGACTTCCATACTGTGGTGGAGCTACTTGTGACAGTGTGGATGGCTGGTGGCTAATAGAGTGAGGCAGTGATGACGTAGTTCTAACCCGAACCAAAAGTTAGCATCGCAAGAGCTCCCTCGAGAAAAAGCAATGGGATTTTTACATTGGATTTAGATTTTTTTTAAGAATATAAGCTCTTTGGCCAACACAAGTTTATGAGACTTACACGTTTTGTTCAGCAGGATAATCTCCACACATTATGATAAGATAAAATGTACTTTATTGATCTCAATTTGGGAAATGTTTGCGTTGCAGCAGCAATCACCATAAGTAAAAAGCTAACGTTAGGCTATAAATGAACTACATCACGTTTGCAAGGTTGTGTTTCACAACCGCTAAGCTAAAGGCGACTAATGTTCGGCTTGATGATGAGTATAGTTGAGAGTCAGTTGTTAGCAACAGCTGTTTTTATGACACATAGAAGTATCTAATTATAAAGTAGGACAAAAAAGCTTCATATCTTAAGATTGTGTTAACCACAGACCTTATTTTTGGTTTTTAACCAAAAAACTATCAAAAAAACGTTGACTTTTGAAGTGCTAAATAATAAGTAATTCCTGCACCACTCTATGAGAGGTACAACCAAACATTTGTTTTCTAAGGGGGGCTCTGTGTGAATAGCAGTAGGATGGGTCTTTATGTTGAAATCACACAATTATTGCCTAAACTCTAAATCACTTTCAGTTAATGTATTTGTGAAATATTTTGGCATGAGAAATGGCAAACCATATTGCAAATTAGAGCTATGATCCATCTACATATTATGTTGAAACCATTCCAGATATGTTTGGTTTTTTAAAAAACATCAGATCTGAGATATACAGTATATGTTCTTTAAAATGCAGTGATTTAATCAATGTATAATCAACATACTGTGTGGTTTGAAGGCTAAAACTGCCAAATATATTAATTTAACACCCCATAATTAAAAAGTGGCATCATGGTGCTACAAAAGAGTAGGTGTAGTGCCATTGCTCCATTATTTGAGCATCCTGACAGTAAACACTTCCAGCTACTTGTGAAAAGACAATTGTTTTCATGTTGATGAATTCAACCAATGGTAATTGTATGATATCAGCATGGTGTGTGCAATCAGTTATGATTTAACAGGTAAGTAAGCCAATGTATTCCTAAAAACATGATGTGCTCCTGGGTTTAAACAGTAGGAGGCATGCCTCCCCCCCACTCCATGCTGTCATTCCCTCTCCATTGCAGTATCAATAGCAATGGGCTCGGGCTGCAGGTGACTGTCATGTCTCTCGCTGCATCCTCCCTCTACTAGACAGCTCACTCAGGGGACAGCGAGAGAGACAGAAAAAGTTTGATGAAAGGGAGTCTCTCACAAAAGGGAGTGGAGTACAGAGTTCTTAACCTCCTATCTCTCTGACTCTTTATCGGCTTTGCTTCTGAGTGAATGTGCGAAATCCCAGCTTTCAATAGCTTAAGCCGCTTGAGGAGAATAGTCCTGATATAACCCAGGTCCACCTCCTTTTCTTTGGACAACAAAACTCCCTACCTTATACTCTACCCAGACACACATGCTCCCTAATGCTCTGCATACATTGTGAGTAAAACTTGAATGTTAAACAGGTACATTAACTGTAAGAGGAAAAATAAGTAACTAATGCTGTGCAAAGCTAAACAACATTATATTGTTAAACCACCAATAATGTCAGATATGTTTCTAAACCAAATACATTAATTTTGTAAAAATGGCCACAACCAATGGAGTCATTTGCAAGTGAAGTAAATCATTAATAGGTTGGTATCCTCTTTTTTGGGAACAGAGAGCTGAAGAATCTGAAATAGGGAGAAGTTATCATTTTAGCTGTGTGCGATCCAATTTTATTAAACCCTGTAATATAATAGTATACTGTCACAGCACTAGTAGTACTGTTAAAGTGATTTGTTTTTTGGTTTTGGGATAAGCCTTATGGCAGTACCAGCTACTTACAGTCCATCCCATATTCTAAGTGACACTAGCTCTCTACCTCTGTGTTAGCACTCAGGGCTAGCGCATGTATCGTTAGCAACCAATCAATAATGACAGATAACAACCTGTGACAGTGAGGTGTCGAATAGTGAATCTCCAAAAGAGTGCTTTAAATGTTTGTCCAGCAATCAAATTGGCAAGATGAATTCGTTGGCAGACTCAAAAATAACTAGCTAGCAAGTTAGCGGTTAGCTTGCCAGCAGTAGATCACCAAGTTCTAGAAGTAACTTTGTCGCAGAAGTGTATTGCCTTCAGCACTTTCTGGCAGAGTGACTGAGTGAATAAATATTAGTTTTAGAAGAGGCGGTGCAGTAATGACACACAGTCACTCAGTCACTAGCACGCAGGAAGCTAACGTCAACCCATGAGGCTGCCCACTCTGCCCACTTTCTGTGAATGTGAGTGTGTGATCCAGGCAGAGTGCTGCCCCCTCCCCAGCCTGATGCTGTCCCGGGCTTCACCACCCTCCTTTGCTCCTCTCGTTCAGGGTCTGAGCTCATGCCCAAAGCCCTCTCCACCAGAATTGTAGGAGGAATCTGGTGGTTTTTCACGCTCATCATCATCTCTTCTTACACGGCGAACCTGGCGGCCTTCCTCACCGTGGAGAGGATGGAGTCGCCCATCGATTCTGCTGACGACCTGGCCAAGCAGACAAAGATAGAATACGGGGTGGTGGAGGACGGCTCCACCATGACCTTCTTCAAGGTTAGTTACAACTGGATAACATTCAACTAAATACAGTCTTTTCTTTTTCTACACTGTTGTGTTTCACTGCTCTATTACCCAGAATTGTACAGATAACAATATGGGTATGACAAGGAATATGATCAACTTTGAGCTGTTTGCAGAGGCATTCAACCACATCATTTATACAGTACACAGACATTGCTACAACAGTACCTAATATTTGACATTAGATAAGATACGAGATAACTCTAAGAGGCTTAACCTTTCTTATGTGTGCTGCGCTATACAATTGATTTAGTATTATACTTTGATTTTGTTGGGGCATTAGATCCTTAATTTACCATATTGCATCTTGGTATTGACTCTCCCTAGCTGGTAAAATAGTTTTTCAAACCATACATGTTTTTTGTACATCAGTCATGCGCAAATGCGGCGCACTTCTGCGCTCGCGCTCTGCAGTAATCCCGCTGCGAGGCTCCGGCAAACTAACGGCCCGTCTACACTACAGGCATCAAAAAATCTTGAAGCTGGCGTGTCTGAGGCTTGGCGATTTCTCGCGACCAACAACCAATCAGGAATCTCCCGCCCGCCCCCGGCATACAAAGCAATAGCAATGTTAAAACGAAGTAAACTGGATATAAAATTCCCAAACAGGCGAAAACCTACCAGTTTCACCCACTGTCTCTGCCACCTCCCTCCATGCCTCGCTCCTCCGGTTTGTTTCCCGGTAGATGAACAGAGACTGATCATACAGCACCGGGTGATTCACTACCGATATAATGAATTTTCCCTCCATTTTGTTGAATATGAGGAAATTACCTGGGTAGTCTCTCCCAGCATACACACGGTTTGATTGGCTAGCTCTTGTACTGTCAGATTTGCATACGCAGGATTTGATTGGCTGATGCCAAGCATCGAGCCTCAAAAGTTGAACATTGTTCAACTTTTGATGCCGATAGATGCTCGTGAATCTTGCAAAGCCATGCCATGCTCCCCACAATGCAGTTCGGCGAAGTTTTAAAATCTTCTACGTCACCCCATTCAAATGAATGGGCGAAGCGTTGAAAGCATTTTTCGATGCCTGTAGTGTAGACGGGCCGTAACAGAACTTACGGAGCGTCCACACTACAGCTTCAAAAAAAGCTTGGAGCTGGGCGTGTCTGAAGCTTGGGGATTTTATTCGAGCAACGCGACCAACAACCAATCATGAATCTCCCGCCCCCGACATACAAAGCAAAAAACCCCGGGGATTTAATGCGAGCAATATATATATATATATAAACTCCCCAAACAGGCGAAAACCTACCAGTTTCACCCACTGTCTCTGCCACCTCCCTCCATGACTGGTTCTTCCGGTTTGTATCCCGGTAGGTGAAGAGGGTCTGGTCATACAAAACCGGGTGATTTGCTACGGCAATAATTAGTTTCTCCTCCATCTTTTTTTGAAATATAGAAATGAACGGCGGGATATCTCTCCCAGCTTAGACGCGGTTTGATTGGCTAGGGCTTGAGCTGTCAGATTTTCAGAAACGGGATTTGATTGGCTGGCGCTGGCTACTCCGGCGTCTCCGGCGTCAGAAGTTGAACATGTTCAACTTCTGACGCCAGAGAAGCCGGAGACGGACCGCTATGCTACCCACAATTCAGTTCGGCGAAAAGCGAGGCAACGTGACGTCACCCCATTCAAAGTGAATGGGCAGACACGTTGGAAACCGTTTTTGAAGCTGTCGAAGCTGTACTGTGGACGGCCCGTAACAGTTCACGAGCGTGCTTCCCCCCCCCCCCCCCCCCCGGCTACCACCACAAGTATATTTCAGATCTGTGGGAAACACTGATAGACGTAAAGCAGTAGAAACACTTTCGCAAGCAAAGAAGAAGAAAAACTGAAGCCCTTAAAGTTAATAGTGTATAATATCCATGGGCGTAATTTCCACTGGGGACAGGGGAGAACATGTCCCCCCCACTTTTCAAAATCCCGTTTGTGTTGTTGTTGTTTTTTTATGCAAGCGGTCATCGCCACGGAGGAGCACACAGCGTCTGTGTGTGTGTGGCACGAGCGCATTTTGTGTGAGTGTGCGAGCGAGAGAGAAAGAGAGTTAGCGCACCAGTTACGGGGGTTGTAGTTAGCATCTGATGCTAGCTCGGAGCTAACGGAGATTAGAAGCTGTTTGAACAATAAGGAGAATCCTGTCAGACTGAGAGGCTGAGATAACGTCAGTTTAGGTGAGGTAAAGGACTCGCTGAGTGATTAGATTGTAAACTTGAGTCTAAGTTATCTCAGTGGGTCTCAAACGGTTTGGTCATCTATGTAAACAAATATTTCCATCTATTTAATATAGTTGTAAAAAACAAGTTAAGAAATCATTCCAATGTGTACTATAGGTCAGTAAAAAATAAAAAAAACAGTTTAAAAGGGGAGTGATTAGTAAAATATGCTTAAATAACAAGAAAGAATGCAGAGTAGGTAAGATAAAGATAGGAGAGAGGAGTATATCAATGATGTGTTATTGGTTGTGTGCATATTCTAATCTATATTGAAATATATACAAGGCAGGAAATGGTGAAAAGGAATCTAACTTCGATACAACCAATGTTAATATCTAGGCCGTCTCCGATACCGAGTTCCGGTGCTGGTAAGGCTCTGGAAAACGGCCGTCCAATCTTTTTAGGACTAAACCCCCCAGAATCTACACGCAAGATCACCGTAATCTGTTTAGGGGGGCGTTTACAGTGCACTTTCGGCCTCGGATGTCCGACCGCCAGGATATCAAAACGGAGTGTATAGTGTAGTAGGTGTTGGTGGGCTGGTAGAACCCCAGAGCAGTATCTAAACTGCCCCTGAAGGAGAAACCCTGTGTCGTTGGGAGACCCCCTGGTAATTAGGGCAGCTTCAGGACCCACAATCCCTAACCCCCAATTTTGATCCCCAGTTATACCAATCAAAACAATGCAAATGTAATATCAAACACAGCCAGAGTCAAACATTAATATCACATCAGCAGAGCATATGTCATATTTCAACATTAATCAAAACCACATCAACCAACGCACTAACCAATGTGAAACTATAGTTTAACCTTAACAGAGTTTCTATTCCCCTTAAACAATTTCAAATCCAAATGATCAACTACTGTCAGCCTTTTCCAAGGAAGGGTGTTCTTACCTCACTCTAAGACCAAGCAGATACCTTCAGAGACCACGAGAGAGACCAGGAATTGGGTCGAAATGTACAGAGTACAAACCGGTTTTATTAAGGTTTTAACTCAAATAGAGGATTTACAAGAATCCAAAAAAATAACAAAGACACAAAGTCAAAATACAAAAGCAACAGGTTCACAAGTTAAATGTCCTAAAGCCGTCTCGTTTCTTCTTCTCCATCCTTCTTTATAGTCTTCTTCCTCCTCCCTCTCTTCCTCATGGGTCACAAATGTTCGACTTTTAATTATTGAACATTAAAAAATGTAAGGTTTAAAAATAAAATAAATAAAGACTTATAGTAATGATATGTCATTTTAACGTGAGGGAATATGAACATTTTTCATGAAAGCAGAAAACATTGTCAATGTCATGTTTAGAATCAAGTTTTTTCTTTAAACATTTCAATTTCAAATATGCAACCTTTATACTTTAATTCATTAACAGAGACTTCATTTATTAACAGAGGCAACAGGGACAGCTTGTCTCTAAGATTCGCTGGCCCAGGAAGTTTGATTCGAATCTTTGCGTAGGCCGCCTGCATCCTGTGCTTATTGTTGTCCTCAACCGTCGTAACCTGTAAATAATAATAAAACCCCTTGATTTATAACTTAACATCTCTGTCTCCTATGGATCTGAGTATATTATAAAGAATAGCCAGCTCATTGAAGCATTATAGCACAGGCCTTTGTCAGATGGTATATTACGCTGTTTTTTTTCTGCTTCTAAATGGCACATTTCCACTGCAGCGGGGTAGCCCCGTTTAAGCGTCCCTAAGCGTCCTCGCTCAGGCCTCGGGCTGCCTCGCTGGCCGTCCGAGGCCGTGGCGCATTCCCATTACAGTTTAGGACCTGGGGTAGCAACGCAGTGTAGGCGGGGCGATCGGCTTTGTTGTAACGTCGAGCTCCCGCTGGATTTTATCATCCCCAATGAGATGTAGGAACGTCGTCACCTCCTCGGTCGACCACGGTGTGCTTTTCTTTGACGTTGCCATCTTTGTAGCTCCTCCGTTTACAAAAATGCTGTGTATAAAAATGCTGCAAGCTTGCTTCTAGATATGCGACGCTAGGGATGATCTCGCGTGCGATCTTGTGACGATTCTCTCTGACCAATCAGCAGTCGAGAGTGTTGACGTCACTAGTTCAGCCCTGGCCCTGGCCTGATAGAACCACGATTTTATGGGGCCGGAAAAAGAGGGAAAAAGTACCCGCTAGCCGGTGCTAGGCTATATGGAAAGGCCACACACTCTCACTTCATAATCGTCCAGGAGCGACGTTTGGTCAGTGTCCGTGGCGTCCAGTTGTGACGCTCCTAGGCTCCTTCAGCTTCATAAAGGGACGCAAATAGCTTTCAACTGATTGCAATGTATTCCCATCTGCGGCGGGATTTGACGCTCATGGAAGCACGGCATTCGTTTGTGTCTGCTGCCCTTAAAGGCAATGTGAGCGTCCATTGCCATTGGATAACGGAGAATTGTACACCCGGAAGTAAGTATTCCTCTTACTGTCGATTGATTTTACAGTGATGTGTGCACTACTCATCGACTAAAAAACACCAGATTATCCTTGTTAATTACACAACATTGATTGGTTTAAATTGTGTGCAATGCTTTTGTATTTTTCCCCTTCGATTCGGAGAAACAAATATTTTTTCTGAGTAAAGGATGGCAGAAGACACTACACTACCCAGAATCCCCAGCTATCGTTTGGACTACACCATGTGCTCTGTTTGACAAACCCCGTGATAGTCCTCAAGCTCTGTGGTTGGAGAGTGTGCTCCGAGGGTTACGCCGATTCTCGAACAGCACTTGAAATGGGATGGAA